GTTGATCAGTAATTGATAAATGGCTCTTGTGTTGTCTCCCTACATTTATAGCGCCTTTGAACCTAAAGATATCAGCCTAGACATCACGTTTGACACAAATAGACGTTACAGCAACTTATTAACTCTATTTCTCTCCCCCTCCTCTCTCTCTCTCTCTCTCTCTCTCTCTCTCTCTCTCTCTCTCCCTCTCCCTCTCTCTTTCTCTCTATCATTTAGGTTATTCTTAATTCAATGCATAAGTACCAGCCTAGGATCCACGTGGTCCGAGCTAATGATGAGAAATCACTTACACTGGACGAAGGGAGCGACAGCCTTAGTACACACATTTTCCCTGAGACACAGTTCATGGCTGTGACTGCCTACCAGAACCAACAGGTAGACTATGTGGCTTTTAATAATGAAAATAATGCAATTATTATTAGTAATTTTATTTAATAATTTTTGTCATTTTATAATAATTTGATTTTACACAGACGTGCATGTGCATATGGTCACATGTGCCAAGGATAATTGGTTATTGTAATTACATTTGCCTTCTTCCCTATACTACATGCTCCAGTCCAGAAATTGCTACATGCATGTACATCCTGCCATGCTTGACTATATTCTTTTATACACTCTTAGATCTAGAGGGAGTTTAGGAGACTTTAATCTCCCATATTTGGTCTAAGTCTCCTGAAATATCCCATTTTACAGCTTTGAAAGTCTCTCATATTTAGCCTAATTCTCTTTAAGTTTCCCATTTTTAGTAAAATAGGACACTCCCAAGATTTAGTTCTTGATCTACATGTAGCAATGGAGGCAATCCTTTTCTTTTATTTATTTTATTATATTTTATTTATTTTATTTCTTATTCTATTCTCCAAAGGTCACACAATTGAAAATAGAGTATAATCCTTTTGCAAAAGGTTTCAGAGGCTCAGAACTCTCCGGCAGAAGGTAAGAGAATTAAAGAACAAGCTGCATGAGAGAAAGCTAGCATAAGGGATTATTAATGTATTGATCTGTTAGTGTTAATACTACATGAAATGACAGCTAGGCCTTGGTGTAGTAATTATAGCTATGTGAAGTGAAGCTGGCAAAAAGAGAATAAAACAAATAATAATATTAATAATAATAATAATAATAATAATAATAAACTATGTACAAAAACAATGATAAGACATAGCTTTCACACCATTGTCTGTGTATTGAATGCACTGCTGTTCGTGATTTATACACAGCAGTAATAATGATAATAATAATGATGATAATAATAGTAATAATGATGTAATAATAGTTGCCTTGTATTTGTTATTTATGTGTAAATATTATTCTTGGAAGTTGTTTTCTAACAATGTTTGAAGATGTGTCTAGTCTAAGACTTTGTTTGTCTGTTGTGTTGTCCTTTGTCCTCCAAATGCAACAATTTCCATAAGCAAATTGAAAATACGAGGAATATTGGAATATCAAAAAAGAAGGGGAAATATAATATAGAGGAGGAAATAGAGTCGGGGGTAGAATAAGAGTGTGTATTATTTTTTTAATGAATGTTACATTGGAATGAATTATCATATATATATATATATATATATATATATATATATATATGTACTCTTTCATTTTAACGCACTGCAGTGTCCCATACATGCACTGTGGCTTTGTGCTTGTGTAAACTGACCGCCCACAGTACATACTTGTTGAATGTGTGGCTCCACCCTAACATATATCATTTATAACACACCGTCTCGTGCTATATGGCTTTTATAAGGACCTCACCATCGGGCTCCGCCCTCGGGCTCAGTCCTTATAAAATCCATATAGCACTCACCGGTGTGTTATAAATATTACATATATATATATATATGTACTCTTTCATTTTAATTATGCTTATGCTTTACTCATATCTCTCTCCCTCCCTCTCTCTCTCCCTCCCTTCCTCCCTCCCTCTCTCTCTCTCTCCCCTTTTCTAGTGATCAAGGCTACGACTGTAATCCTTAT